CCACCGGAGACCTCCACGCCACGCATCTCGCTAACGCTAACCCCCTCAGCTCCCTTGTATATAAACCATCCAAACTACTCTTGCCCGGCAACCGGCAAGCGCCCAAACAGTGACGACTAGACCGACCAATCGGTACACCGTTTCTCTTCTTGCTCGCTACTACTACTAGTTTGCTACTCGCACTCGCACACTACCACCATCCCATTCCCATTCCCATTCCCATCCCACCACCTTTTAAAAGCCCCCACCAATCCATCACCACCACATCCTGCGCTGCTGCACGCGAAGCTCAGCTCGCCTCGCTTCTGTTCAGCTCACGGTGGAAGAGGCGACAGCGCACGAGAGGGAGCAAAAGCGCGCGAGGAGGTCAGGCAGCAGCACCGCGCGATGGCGTGCATCAACATGTACAACCCTGACGGCGCGGCGGGGTTCGGCGGCGGCCCGCAGGCGGCGGCCGCGCTGGGCCCGCGCATCTCCTTCTCCAGCGACTTCGCGGTGGAGCCGCCGCCGCCGGTGCAGAACCGGGCGATGAGCCTGCGGTGCCAGGAGGAGGACCTCAACTTCGAGTTCTCGGTGGGCAGCCACCCCATGATGGCGGCCGACCAGCTCTTCTCCAAGGGCAGGATCCTTCCCCTCAAGGACAACGGCGGCGGCGGCGGCGCCAGCTGCTTCGCCGCCACCGCGGCCCGGCCGCCCACCACGCTGCGCGACGAGCTCCGTGGCGGCGGCGGCGACGAGAGGGCCTCCTCCGCCAGCAGCAAGGGGTCGTCGTCCAGCCGGTGGAAGGAGATGCTCGGCCTGCGGAAGGCGCTCTGCGTCGGCGGCGGTGGCGGCAACGGCCCGGCGGCCAAGAAGGCTAGCAGCGACAAGCAGGGCCAGGGCGTCGCCGCCGACGCCGACATTATGGTCACCGACGACGACATGGCCGCGTCCAATCAGGTTGGCATGCATCTCGTGCCTGCATCATCCTGCATGCGTCCATATGGTGGAGCTTAACCCGGTCGACACCTTGTCTCATCAAACGTTTGTTTGCTTCACAGGAGCTATGATGATGAGGTGACCGTACTACCGATGGGAGAGACGAGACAGGCATGGGGGCCCTGAGCCACACACTCCACGTGCATGAAGCAGCTTATTTTTGTCATCCCTCCTTCAGGCTGATGCTGTTGATCGATCAACCTCTTGAATCGTGCTTGTCATCATCCATCCATGGGCTAGGTTTTGTACTTCGTAGATTGTTGTGAGCGATCGAGTCTGCTTATTGTGTGCTAGGTGGCCCGGCCGTTGAAAAGATCCCAAAAAAAAAGTGTGTATTTTCACTCTCTAGCAAACTGTCCACTCACTAGCAGAGATCCATGGCCAGTCTTTGCTTTTTTTTTCTTCCTTTCTTTCGCTTGTTCTTGGCTTTCTCCTCCACTCCACCCTGTACAAAGTGTCTGTGTACTCGTAGTTGGGAAATTTATGGTGCAATGATTAGATTTGCCAGGTGGCCAGATCTGTGAGGTGAGGAGGCTCTGGTTCACCAGTGATGGAGCCTCACTGGCCGCCCCCTGTCCCTGTGGGGATCAACAGTGCTCTTCTTTGTCTCGTTGCTCCGCTGGATGAGTATATAAAGAGAGACAAGCGCCTCAGAGCGATCATGTGTGAGGCGACAGCGAGAGCTGGTGGAGGAAGGAAGGCTCCCCTAGACCCCGCCCCCTGGCCTGCATGATCATCATTTTTTGTTCTGTTTTGTTTTTGTTCCTGGCAAAAATGATATCCATCTTTTTTTTCTCATTTGAAAAATCTAGTGGACTAAGCGAGCCATGGATGGATCCATCGATCTATCCAATGTGCTCCCGACATGTCCTCTGCAGTGTGTCATGGATGCACAGCTGCCTGCTGCCTATATGCATGCAATGCGTTCAGATCCATCGAATCCTCGCGGCGAATTAAGTATAGGAAACCGGTGTGGCCACTCGTTTCTTTAGTGAAACAAACAAAAAATAAGTAGAGGAAGCTAGAAGAAAACTAGAGGATAATTCGGCAGTGGTGCTATTGTATTGGCGCAAGCAAGCATGCAGTGGTGATGTTCAACTTTCTCATCTTTACAGGCAAACAGGACTGTCAACAAATGCTGATGTCTCGATCTTTAGCGGCTTTCATGGACGCCTGTCTCCATTACCGGCCGTCTGAACTGTACGGGCGTCTAGGCATCGTGTGGATAGATAACAGGATAAGCATGCGCCATGAGATCTACGAGAGGATATAAAAATCTTTGTAGCTAGCACAAGGCCACTTTAGTTGCTACAGTTAGATGGGCTTTTTTTTATTAGATTCAGAGGACAGATAGTAGCAGCTCTAGATATATCGAGTGTGTAGTGGAGTCCTACTATGCAAACAAGCAGCTCGGACATATGAAAAAGATCTGGCAAATGCATTGGTTTTTCTGCTACTACTAGTACCCCTATGTCCTATGTCCTATGTGTCCGGCGTGCTACCTATACAAGATGGCATTGGCAATGGCATGTCAAGGGGCGTACGTAGGGCACAAGAACGTAATGGAACCCATAACGAGTCACGGAGGATATTTCTCATCAACAGCGCACCAAAAAGCGTGCTACAATGCAATGTGTCGTCATGAAACAGCAAGGATCCATGACGGAAGCAATAATAACAGGAAGCAATCGATGATTGATTGACGCATGGGCGAAGACTGAATAGCTAGAGAGAAACACACACATCACAGGTCCTCAGAGTGAAGAAGAAGAAGAAGAAGAAGAGTCTGGACCGTTACCTCTGAAGCTGGACTACGACATTAGCTAGGGTACGGTGAACGCAATAATGCATTCCCTTTACTTCCTCTGAAGCAGCTGGGCTACCATGGCACTGTTGCCACGGCAGAATCACGTGGAACCTACGCCCTATCATCGAATTAAATCTCTTGGTGGAACTTGTGCACCGGAAGATCTTGGCATGCATCCCTGTCTGAAGTATGCAATGCAAAGAAGACTCAGATCGTGGTACCATAGTAACATTACTGATTTACTGTTAACTGATGGCTGACAGGGCCGTAATAAAAGACTCAGAAGCATGCAATCCTGCGCTGCGCAGATCGTGAAGAGAACTTAGACAGTTAGCAGACGACGTTTATTTGCGCAAGGGAATCCGCACAGCTTTGTTTCGAGCAACTCTCGGCCGATTCAATTCGCAGCTAGTTTTGCGATGATGCCAACAAATAAAATTATGGAGCAAGCCGTGCATCTCAGTCCAGCACGGCGGGCGAGATCGTACGCGTCACCGCGAGGGGCCGAGGGCGACTCGGATGAGCTCGGGCCGTCGGGCGAGCGTTCCAGTGAGCCGCGGCGGGGACACGAGGTGAGATCGGCCCCTGCAGACGGCGACCCGCTGGGCTCCTCCTCGACCAAGCCGCGCGCGCCCACCGTAACGTAGCATTAGCTAACCGCGGCGCCGACCACACGAGGCCTCGCTCCTTCCGGCCGCGGCACCCTCTGATCCACCGCACCGCACGAATGCCGTGCCGCGTTGCGGGGCCTGCTCGACGTGACGCCGCTCGAGCCGGCCCACCGAAATTCGCGCGCCGAGGCACGGGTTTGGGCCAAGGAGGCGCAACCGCCCACGTGCTTGTCCCGCGTCCCACACAGGCCGGCGGGTTCATTTTCGTGCGCGTCTCGTTGGGGGATGTGTGCGCCTTCGGCTTGATCGTTCAACGGCCTTGCTAGCGCCCGCACCACCGGACGTGCGTGCTTGCAGTCATTTTTTCGTGCCGTTTCGCACGCTGACGTGGGGTCCGTATCGCCCTAAAGAGAGGGAGCTAGCGGTGGGTGCCCAGCCAGCACCACCGAGAGAGAGGAGACACTGAGGCGAAACAATAGAAGGTGAGGAGGAAAATGCAAACTTGCAACATATATTTAAAGATAGAAAAACATTTGAAATATATATCTGAAATACTTGCAAAAACACTTAAATCATTACAAAAATATATGCAACATCTAGATAAAACACTTGCAAATATATATGTGTGAAATATATGCAACATCCAGATAAATACACTTGTAACGTACGTATGAAAAAACAGATAAAACATTAGGAACAAAAGTTCACAACATACGTGTACAATCATTACAACATATACAACACTCGAACTACTTTTGCAACACTGTGTGAGGTACGACACTCGAACTACTTTTGATCAACACCCATATATAGTACAAATATGATACTTTCCTTGTAACCATACCCTCCGTATTAAGGAGAGACAGGGGTCCCTAGTCATCATCTACATAGATCTCAATACAATACACCAAAGACTTGACGAATTACGATCACATGAACTGCAACATCTCGCTTTGTGTCATCATCTGGTTCCTAAAATGCGAGGCAATCTACCTTCGTGGGATACCTCTCGAGGATTACCGAGCATTTTTGTGAAGTTCGATGCTCAGAGTGGCGAACCGGAGGGCGTTCAAGATCATCTTCGCGAAACTCGGATCGGCGTCGACATTCTTCGCCACGGCGCATAGACCTCGGCGGATTGACACCGCCAGCTCCGATTCGTCCGGCGAGATCAACTTCGTTCGGATAGCGAGCCGCTAAGCGAGCGTGCACGCAACGACCAATAACGCCATCGGCCGACCGACGCGACGCGGGGTTAAGTCATGCTTTAATATTTTCTAAACATTCTCCAATCTTAAAACGCCACGTCATCACCAGGACCGGCCTGGCGTTCCTCAACAGCAACGTGCTGAGCGGGTGCGCGGGCGCGCCGCGCCTACGGCAATCGGCAACCGCGTGCCCATGTTCACAACGAAAGGCACTGGTCCAACGCCGCGCACTTCGTGGAGCACGCGCGCCAGTCGCGCGGACCGGCCTGGCGTTCGCCTGGCGATCGTGCGCGGGCCCATGTTCACCTACATGCGGCTGGACTTCGCGCGCATGCAGCGCGGATCGTGTGCGCGCGGATCGTCAAGTACTACTCGCTGCGCCGGTTCGTGCGCGAGATGGGGCGGCCCGCGGAGGAGTGGGGCACGCGGCACGAGGAGGGCATGTTCCACTACTCGTCGGGGATGCAGGCTGTGGTGACCACGGCGGGCGTGTGCGCACGGGTGTCCGTGTTCGGGTTCGGCCCGGCGCGCGGCACCACTACCACATGCTGCAGCGGGTGGGAGCTGGACCTGCACGACTACGAGGCCGAGTACGAGTTCTACCGGGACCTCAAGGAGCGGCCAGAGGCCATACCATTCCTGCGGGACTCCGGGCTCCAGGCTGCCGCCGGACGGCAGTAATCCTCCGTTCACTCTCCATCTGCTCCTGTTTTCAGCGATGGGCTGTTGTTGGGCCCAGCCTGGTTGCTTTATTTTGGTCCATGCATTCCAGTTAGCCCATATACCATTTATGTTTCAATCCAACTAAGTATGTTTGCTTTGGATTTGGTTGATTATTTCACCTCTTGGTTTCTTCCGTATCTTTTTTCCGAAGAAAAGAGAGGCTCTTTTATTGCTCATTGTTCATGTTACAATCTTGAGCAATAATTTGCTCGATACAAACTGGGATTACATTGCGCCAAACAGCCGAACTGTTTGATCTCAACGCCAGTTGTGCGAGCTCATGTGCCGCGTGATTTCCATATCTTTTGACTATTTTCATTGTACAAAAATTACATGTTTTTAATTTTATTTTTCCCTTCCATTTATTTTTCTTCTTTCCATTTTTCTGTACTTCTACACTTGAATAATATTCTCCTCGATATACAGTAATTTATTCTTCATATTTTTGTTCTCTATTTGCCTTGCATTTTTTTATATATTTTTTGTTCCATTTAATTTTGTATTTTCCTTTTTTTTCTTCTACTCCTAGAGACATAGACAAGGTACTGAATAGTGATTGTAGCGGCTGCAATAGCGGTAGCGGTCTACAGCGTAGCAGACTGGATTTAGCAAGTTGAAACTTAGTGGCCGCTATTTGAGTTAGCGGTCCGCAATAGCGTGGTACGGTACGTAATAAAATTAATAATCCTAGCCCACCTAAGATACACATATGGTTTAAGTGGTCATGAGACTAATGAGGTTACTATTTTATTGACAATAATAACGAATGATGGTCATATAAATTATTTATGGTTCTCATAATCTATTTCTTTATAAACTCTGATATATATGATGTCTTATATGGAACATCATGTCCTTTTCTTCTTTTTTGAACTGACATGTCCTTTTCTTCTTAATTAAGTATGTGAAATCTCAGTCCTCTGAGTACAGCTAAATGTTTATTTGTACCTAATATTCATGATATATGTTTAAATTTACTTGTAATTATCATATGCTGATATTGGAACTTAGCGTCCGCAATAGCACCCACTATCCGTGATCCGCTACCAACTAGCTATACACTATTTAGTACCTTGGACATAGACTAGACTTTATGTCCTTGGACGCCGTTGTTCCGGGATGTTCCGTGTGTGTTCTGAATTAGTCATGTACTTTTCTTCCAAACAATTTTGTTCATTTTTAGTTATTATATTATCTATGAGATATTTCATAATGTGTTTCGGATTGCTCGTATGTTATCCACGAAATATTCCGTGGTGCATTTTGTAAATTACATGGCCTTTGTTCTTTTTATTTGTTTTGATTTCCATTGTTTTCTTTCTTTCTTTTTCCTTTTTCTCTACTTTTGCTCTATAGGATCCATGAAAACATCAGACAACACTGACTAGCGACAAGTTGCCACCAAAACATTCGTGAACGAGCAATGGTTAAGGGTGGTTAAGTCTTCTCGAACCTTCCCTAATTCATAGTTTTAAACCCTGTTTGGATTCCATGTCTAAAGTTTAGTCGGCTACTAAACTTTAGATCACTTTAGCACACTTGTCACTTGTGCGGTCTAATAAACTAATAGTCTTTTGTAAGGTTGGCTAAATTTAGACAACACTTTATACCACTTGTTTGAAGCCTCAAGAGCTAAAGTGTAGTGGCTAAACTTTAGATCATAGAATCCAAACGGGATAGCGTTCGTTATTTGGTTATTTTTACTTGGAGAGGTGTTGAGTTTGGCACCTACTAGTGTTGTGTTGGTTTTGTAGTGACACATAACAGCAGGATGGTTGCAGCCTATGATGTTGTTTGGATTACTGCACATAGCCGGTATACCGAGTGGATGCGTATAAACTTTTGGAACAAACGTGTTTAGATGGATGGTTCCATTGTAGCTATTTGTATCCATAAGTGCATTGCTCCCTAGATGTTGTATCCGCCCATATGCGTAAATTTAAGCTTCATTATCGAGCTAGGTTGAGTGGATATGAGGATATGGGATACAGGGTCCACGTGTCAGTCTCTGCTTATATGTAGGCAACCAAACATAATCTTTTTTTTTTGCATCCCGTTATGCAACTTCACCAAACCTCTCTTTTTTCTGAAATATGGTTTCACTCTACCTGATCCCTAAACCCCAATCCTCTCATGCAGGATATACAATACAACATCTATCTGGCAACCAAATGCATCCTTAGCTATTTCTTAGTTGGTCTTTGTTCTCAAGTTGCTAGCCCTTTTTTTAGGTCAAACTACGGCGGGGATCAAACTGATCCCCACCTGATTTCATTCCACAATGCCGGCAAGCCGGTGGGTGGAAGGGGCGGAGCCCTCCATGTTACAATAGAGTTACACCTTGATCAAGAAAGGGGTTGCGATTACATTACTAATGGAGTTGCTCCAGTTCATGGCCATGGTTGCATTACGCCTAGGGATTCTGCAGCTCCAGGAGTCCACGGATTGCTTGCATTCTGCCCTTAGGCGTTCCACGCTTGGTTCCAGGCTCCTGAAGTTGCTAGCCGTTTGACCCTTCTCTCTCTCTCTCTCTCTCCTTTTTCTTTTCTGTTTTTTTTCATGATTTTGGTGTCTGTAATTTGGTTTTCCTCAAATCGAATCAAAGTAATATAACACGGCAATCCCCTTGCCGATTTTTTTATTATATATAAAAAAAAGAAAGAAAAAATGCACAAAGAAAACGTACCTAGCAGGGGAAAAAACAGTTAGGGCACATTCGGATAGCATGGAATAGAGCCCAGGAATTGATCCGACCAGAAACACAGGTGTATTTTATACAGGCAAGCAGCAGCAGGAACAGTTCCGGCCAGGATTAAGCCAAAACGAACGGGCCCTTAGCGAGAATAAACCCCGTCGTAAATGCCCTGATCGGATCCAAAGCCGATCATCACGCGAGGCGTGAGCATATACGGATTGTACACGAATGCTATCCGCTCCGTAATTACAAATCCAATCCGTTCGTGTAGTAGCTACTGCTACGCAAGTTGCACCAGGGCAGAGCCATGAATGCGAGGGACAACAGCAAAACTACAAAATGTGCGGCGCGTACGTACACAGGAAGTACCCCTGACATGGTGGTGCTAAACGAACTTGTGGTTGGCTCACACCTCGCAGCTACCAGCTATATATGGTAGCAGCTTGACGGCGCAGAAATAAATCGTCCTTTGCCTGTACTCCTCCTCCCCCACCCGCTCTGCGTTATTGATTGGTCGATTTGCCTGTCGCTTACCTGAAACCGATCAAATCATATATACAAACCGATGTTTAGTTGCTACTCCACCAGAATTTGCAGACATCGCACTTAATACAGGATCCGTACCCTAGCACCAGCAGATCATTATGCCGATCCGTCGAATTGATGGCCAACATTTGGCCGTTTAACTGATGCCATCTCTGCCGTAAACTCTGCCATTCCCTTCCCTGCAGGATCCTTCACTGTCACAGCACTACAGGGCTCACCTTTTCGAATTTACTCCAGGCAGTAGGCTCTCTCTGAACTCAGCACTGAAAAAGTTGTTTCTAACTGCCTGTTCGCTTGGTCGTATTTGGCTTATAAGCCATGACTTATTAGCCAACGAACATTATTTTTCTCTCACACCAAACCAACCAACAATACTTTTAGCCATGGCTTATAAGCCAAACCAGTCCAAACGAATAGAGGGCAGGCAGAACAGATCTTGGCAGGCCGAAACAGCAGAGCAGAGCCAGGCAGGCAGGTGACAGGAATGAACCCTGCCACTACCGGACCCCAAAGCTAGCCACCAAGCTAGGGGACCCAAAAGGACCAGAGTTTTAGTGCCACCACTTGATGGTTTCCGCGGAATGTCACCGGCCTGGGGATCCTCACCTTCTTCGATCGGCGCAGAGTCCAAGGCCAGCCACGCTTCACAAAGCGTACTTACCCCCAGATTATCATACGCTTGTCGCCAGTTTTCTAAGCGAAAGGCCCTCGCTAGCTCCCCCACCCGGTTGGCTGATGCTGCGTTCTCAGCTGGCTGGTTGATGCATCGATGGGGAGGAAGCACTTGCCGCCCGGTTTCCCAAGATCTCCCCACCATCCACGGATCTTAAACCTACTTGTTTATTAGCCATCAATACGCTCGGACGTGACGTGCTCCTCAACTGCTATAGATCATGGCGCCCATCTCCCAGCATGCACCCCAATCATCAACCACACTCTTTCCTCCACGTCTGGTGAACACTATTCTACTGCTAGTATAGCAGCTCCGACTATGATAGAGTTTCTAATTGCTCGCTCATCTTTGCACCGCTATGTTGGCCTTTAATGTTTCCTCTGGGCACTGAATTAACCCCACATAACATTGCCGAAAAAAAAAACTTAGTATAACCTTCAATTTTCCGTGTTGATTTTTTACAATTTTTTTGTTGATTCTTTTTGAGATGTTTGGAAAGAACATTCTGACATGAGATGGTACTAGCATACGGTTTAAATTTGGACGACGATACAGGTGGATGCGCAATAACCAGCGAAGCGAATATTTTCCAAATTGGGCTAGACTAGGAACCGGCCGAAAAAACAGCGAGCCCATGGGCAGAAAGGTAAGGGTCACAGGTAACACAGTGGACCAGCATTAAAAAACACCGATCCCTTTCAGTGCAAAGCCAACAAGCGGCAGTGGGCGACGGACGCAATGCAGTAGCACCGAAATACCGAATCGCCGTCGCTCCTCTGCCACTGCCAGATTCTCTGGCCTGGCCTGCCTAGTTTTCACCAACGTACTGAGCGGCCCAGATCCCGATGGCAGTAACATTCCTCGCTCATCAGCTGCACCATCCACCACCTCATCCCCCACTTGCTGCCACACCCTGCCTACCGTATCCATGTGCTCACATGCATGATCCCATTATCCCAAGTCATGCATCCCTATTCTCGTCTCCACCTCCGAGTAACATGTGTACCAACACTAGTTTAATTACGGCAGCCACAGCGCTAATCA